TGCTTTCACGTTTAAAATAACTCTATGCTGTCCATGTCTCTACAATATGTAGAGACCATATTGTAGCATAAGTGTTCACTGGCTTGGTGTTTACACCTGTGCATGTAAGAGTCATACTGACTCAGTTCTTGTCAAGGTAGCTAAGACGGTCTTCTCTGTAATGATGAGTCCTAGCAAATCAAATGCTGTCTGTGCATCTTTTTTCTTTTAAACACAGGGTCTCGTGTAGCCCAGGCTAGCCCTGAACTACTAACCAGAGAATGGCCTTGAAATCCTGTCCCAAGTACTGGAATTACACTAGCTTCCCTTGGATGTTCTTTTGGAGTTAATGTGATGGTTTCAGTTAAGATGAGAAAGTGACGAATCACTTCAGTGGCATCAGATACAAGGGGCTGGTCAGCTAGAAGCCAGACAATAGCCTCTGCCTAGGCTGACATGCCCTGGGTAATGAAGAGACTTCCTAGCCAGCCTCCGGTGGCACAGAAGTCCAGTACCCTCCCCAGGTGCTGAAAACCTTGTATGACAGCAATAACTGCCTGTGAACTTTTCTCTGTGCTGATGACATGAGCAAATCAGTTGAAAACATTTAATTGGCTTTGTGGCTATGAAACTGAAATCCACCCAGAAGCTGGTGTCTGGGATGAGGCACTCTTTTCCTAGATAACAGTACCTGCTGTGCCCACAGCTATTTCACAGCCCCCTCCACCCAGTGCTGCTACGGTTTTAAGTGTCTCTGAGGTAAAGGCTTGGTATCCAAGTGGAACCTGCCACAGGGGCAGGGGAACTAGTGGAAAGAACCCCAGGTAATGGGTGGGGGAGATTCTCCTGCAAAGGGAAAAATGACGTGAGGTCTGCCTCTCAGTTTCAGCCTCGCAGAATGGCATGTTCTACCACACAAGCCTGCCATGAATTGCTCCCTAGCCCAAGAGCCAAAGTGACAGGGCCACCTGATCTGAAACTGGGATCTCCAGAACCATACACCAGAATAACGCTTGTCCTGTTGTTCATGCCTCAATTATTTCAATGTACTACCACAAAACTGACTTAACATGGCACCCTCCACCTTCTCCCCCACCCACACTCTGTTCCCATCAGTTTGACAACAAATGGAGTCTGAGTTTGCATCTGAGTAGAGCATCTCCACCTTTTAAAAAATTTGTGCTCAGCACCTTTTCTTTTTTTAAACAACACACGTAGGTAAATTCTAGGGGGTTTTGTGTTGTGTTTTGTTTGTTTGGGGTGTGTCTTATTCATTTTTATGAGACAAGATCTCTCCATTTATTTCTAGAACTCACTAGACCATGCTGTCCTCAAACTCTCAGAAATCCTTCTGCCTCTGCCTTCCAAGTAATTAAAGGCATGAATCACTACATCCCATAAGTTCTAGAATCTTTATGTTCTCTTTAATCAAGATGTCTGGCCACCCTCTTTCTGAAAATAAACTATTAACTGACTGAGTCTCAGTCTTCAGCTTTGTGTCACTTGGCAAATGCTGAAAGAGAACTAAGCATGGGCTGGGTTCTGTCCTGGGATCTGGGGACTGAGTAATGGGGGAGGGGATTCAAAGGGTTACCATAGAGTTCCTGCTCCGAAACAGAGAAGGGTGGCATCTGGAAGTTTTCTAATAAGCAAGAATCTGTGAAGACAGGGCTGGGGAAGGGGGCTCAGCTGGTGAAATATTTTTCTAGTATACACGAACCCTTGAGTTCCAGCCACAGTAGCACATAAAACCATCATCCCAGCATTTGGGAGGTTGGATGAGGGTCAGGAGTTCAAGGCCATCCTCAGCAGCATAGCAAAGGTCAGCCTCAATTACATGAAACACTGTCTCACAAAAGGAAAATGTAGACTGCAAAGGCAGAGGCAGTCTCAAGCACACTCATGAGCAAGATCTTAGCTGTAGTTTGGTAGTTCTGGGTAACAAAGCCACAGCCTCAAGCCAGCTAGGTGAACACTCTATTTTGAGCTAGACAACCAATCTGAAAACAAAAACAGATTTCTTCCAGGTTTAAAATGAGTAACATTAGGGGCTGGAGAATGGCTTAGTGATTAAAAGCACATGCTGCTCTTAAAATAACCCTGAGTCTGGTTCAGTGTCTACACTTAGAGGCTTATAACCACCTCCATTTCAGTTCCAAGGGATCTGACATCTTCTGTTCACCAGGGGCTCCTGCACTCACTCAATATCAACACACACAAACACACAAACACGAGGGTAAAATCTTTCAAAAATCAGTAACATTAACTAATCTAGTTTGCATATTTATTTCATTTGGGAGTATCAGGAAACAAAACTTATACATATATGCCTGCCTAGAGCAAAGGAAGCTCACTGTGATAAGCAACAAGCTCCAAGGACAGGGAATGGATGACCTGAGTGTGATGGGTGGGACATCTAGGACACTGAGCTCTATTTTGCAGTTCTGGATGCTAAGACAAAGGTGGGGACAGGCAGGTAACTACTGAGATAGCAAGGATGATTCCACACCCCTCCATTGTCTTCTGTGGCTGGCCCACCATCTCTCATGCTCCCTACCCCAAAGCCAAACCCTAGGCCCCATAGGATACCCCCCACATTCTCTCTTATCGCTCTTAGCCAACACAATAAAACCTCTTATAAGTTTTGCCTCAGCCCACTTAGTCTGGAATACAATCTGGCTTCTGTCTCTTCCTCCCTCAAGACAGGTTCTTCTGGATAGCAGCCACTCAAAGGTGACTTAGCATCACCTGTCACCTGATGGTCCACACTGCCTGAGCCTTGCCCCACTAAGTGACTCCTTTCATGACATCATCTTTGGATGGAAAAATACAATTCTAATTTTAAAAGCAGGGTGTTTTTGTTTGTATCTTCTTGTCTAATAGCTGAACAAAGTTGGCATGGCGGTACATACTTACAATCCCAGCAGTTTGGGAGCTTAGGTAGAAGGATGGAGAATTACAGACCAGCCTGGACTACATAGACTCAAGAAAACAAACAAACAAAAAACTGAACAAAATGTGAGTTATCAACCAATCGGAACACTGACACGTGACACAAATCCCATGAGCAGACACTAGGGTATGGTGATATATTATTTATGATTTATTAAAGCTTGCTTCAGGATTCAGAAAAGCAAAGCAGCAGGCCACTAGCCTCAGGACCCATTCATTATCAGTCTATTTATGCACAGCTATAGAAATATGCATTATATGGCATATGAGAGGGCTCAGCAGTTAAGAGCACTGACTGCTTTTCCAGAGGACCCTGGTTCAATTCCCAGCACCCACATGGCAGCTCACAGCTGTCTGTACCTCCAAGATCTGACACCCTCACACAGACATATAAAATTTAAAAAGAAAATCTGCCACACCCTCACAGCTCCCATAAAACAAGGGAAAGTGCAATACTTCTCTCATTTTTTGCAAAAGTTGACAAAGTACACTTCCCATTTTGCAAAATGAGACTCTCTTTCCCAAGCTATATCTTAAAGGGATGCACTCAGATTTCGATCAATGGCATGTAAAACAAAATCCACTTCTCAGTGAATAAAGCTTGAAACAGAACAGGCTACCATTTGGTCTAAGCAATACAGTAATAAGGCAACTATTAAAATGTTTGCTAGCCTCACCAGCAATGAACTTGAGACATATTCTGTCTCATATTTCCCATTCATTAGTCAGTGCTCAGTGAAATAAAACATAGCACTTGTCTATCTAACCTGGAACATTTCTCAACATCATTACCTTCAGAAGGAGTGTTTATTGTTTGAATAGATGACTATGTGGTGTGTTCACACAGGTTAACAATTTCCCTTTGTCAATTGTCTGTTTTCTAATTACTTACTTTTTACTAAATGTTGCAACGGTAGGTATGTGACTGGACGGCATGTTTATAATCTCAGCAGCTGGGAGGCAGAGACAGGAGGATGATGAGTTCCAGGCCAGTCTGGGCTACACAGTAATTTGAATCTCTGATATGTGGCCTCCTTAACAAAAAACACATGGAACAAATATGTACGGGTAGAAAAAATACTTCAGTAAGTATCCATGAACAGTGTGTACTTTTTAATGGCTCAGTATGCTTTTTCAAATGTGAAAAACCCTATTTTTAACCACAGTACTGTACCATTTGAAAGAGACTTCCGAAGCGTCATTTTCCTCGATAATAAAATATTTTTCACCGTGTGTCCAGACTGCTCGCGTGACTCATGTTTGGTAGTTACAGATGCCAGGGCCCCTCGATCCTCCCCTGATCGGTCTCTGGGCAGCCATCCCAATTAAAGGAAGCGGTGTGACTAGCTGCACCCTTGTTTTCAGGTTTTTAATGAGGAGCTGTGCTCCGCAGGCATCCAATAAACACTAAGTGGAGGAACTCAGGCAACCGCAGAAGCAGCCCCAGGGCCGGCTGCCAGCCAACACAGCGCCCAAGGTCCTGGGATACCTCTCCTGAGGGCGTTTGGCGAGTAGCAGCTTTAACAGGAACCGGCCCAGCTCCATTAGCTCCAGGCCACACCTACCTACGCGAAGCCACGCCCAGCCGCCACCAGTTCCCATCCCTTAGTTCCAGGCAGCTGTCAATCACAGGTAGGCCGGTCCTTGGCTGTAGCAGGCAAGGTTTTCAGTTGCGGTTTCCCTCCGGTGGTGTCCGTGTCAACCAGTCTTCAGTGAAGCGGGGTCTCAGGCGCGGACGTCCCGGGAGTCAATCACAGCCAAGCTGCTCACGCCAATGTGCAGGCCCTCCCTCAGCTACACCCCCGCGTCGGCATCAGCAGCGGCCCAAAGCCGCGATCACCTCCCGGCCCCGCCCCCTTCCTGGCGGGATCAGGTAGTAACCTCAGCACCAGAGGCCTAAGGCGGCGTTCCCGCCCCGTCCCGACGCAGGCCCCGCCCCGGAGCCCAGGCTCCTCCCACTCCGGAGGCAGCGGCCAGTCAGGCCTGCCCTGTCCCGGCGCAGGCCCCGCCCCGGAGCCCAGGCCCCGCCCCATCGCAGGCGCCAGCCTCAGCACCAGCCGCCGGAGGCAGCGATCTCAGCCCGGCCCCACCTTGTCCAGGCGCAGGCTCCGCCCCGCCGCCCAGGTCCCGCCCTCAGTGCTCGCCGCGCTCGGCAGCGGGTGGGACGCGGCAGCGGCTCGCTTGTCCTTTGTGTTTGAGTGGCGGCGGACTCGCAGGCCTTCGCCGGCACGTCCCTTTAGCCGGTCCGAGTCGCGCGCTTCCCAGCGACCCATCATGTCGGCGGGAGCGGGTGCGGAGGCAGGCTTCTCCAGCGAGGAGCTGCTGTCGCTCCGCTTCCCGCTGCACCGCGCCTGCCGCGACGGGGACCTGGTGGCGCTCTGCTCACTTCTGCCGCACACACCGCGCGCTCACCTGGCCGCGGAAGACTCCTTCTACGGCTGGACGCCCGTGCACTGGGCCGCGCACTTCGGAAAGGTGGGCGCGGGCACTTTAAGGCGCCATTTTCCGCGGGGTTTCCCGCGAGGGTCAGAGTGCACCCCACCGTGCCTGCAGAGCGCGGCAAAAGCCCGGGAGGCGGCACCCATCGCTCGCCCCATCCGCAACCCCGAGGTTCCCAGGGCGCATGTGCGGCTGAACGCGGTCTGCGACCCAGGGGGTGGGGGCGCGGGAGATGTGCCGGCCCGACCGGCGCCTCGAGGGGTGCACGGCGCATGTGCGGCGCCGCGCGCGACCCAGGACCTCGGGGGGCGCGGGGAGTGATGGGAGGGCAAGGCGGAAGCGGGGTCGGCCTCGCACGCGCCCTGAAGGAGCCAGGGCGCATGTGCAGCTCGTCGGTCCGTTCTGAGAGAGGGGGTGATGTAGGCCGCGGTTGGAGCGGCTCGCGCGGAGCCGCTCGCGCCGGTGTAATGGCAACCGGCTGCAGATCGCCTCTAAGACGGGGAAGGATGGGCGCTGCCCTCGTGGTCCGGGGTGTTGAATCTGCACCTGATGTGACCGTAGGCGAGGCCCGGAGGTCGCCGGGGATCCACAGTCTCCATAGTTACCAGGGGACAGACGAGCCTCCGCGCCCTAAAGCGGCTGGCCAACTTCACAATGCATAATGTAAGATAAAATTAAAGGATTTTTTCCCACCTCTATGGAGGACGAATGAAGACTTGGTTTTGGAGGCCAATTTTGTAGCTGAGGCGAGGACTCTGGTTTTGCTTTCTTGTTGTTTTTGTTTTGTTTTGATCTGTCTTATGAACCTGTATAGTCTTAAGATGTGGAACCATCTTGGAAACCCATTCTAACTAGCAGGGAAAGCTCTTAGATCGCTCGCAGAGGCTGAGCCTCTTTCCGCAACCTGGCCATCTGTTGTGCTCTCTCTCTCTATCTCTATCTTTGTAGCTTTCCAGTATATTTTCCTTAGGATGTACCAGTGATGCTGACGTTTAGACCGGCCATTATTAAGGCTAATTATACTTTGCTTTTACAAAATGCCCCATTCAAAAGTACCCTGCAGAATTCCAAATCCAGTTTCCTCTGTTGAACATGGCCTAGCTAACAGGTTGAGGTCCTAGGGACTCCCCGTGTTAAACGTTAATTAACCACTTTTCACTTGACACCTATTCATCTTACCATTGATTTGTACTTTCATTTTTCCCCTGGGAAATTAAAGGAACTCTTCACCAGTCATTACTTTCGACCTCTGTCTAACACTGTTGTGTTTAAATGTGTTCACTGCCTACTGTGTAAGTTTTGTAGCCTGCCAAACAATAAAAATCGAAGTGTTTATTGAAGTGATCTGTCCTTTATAAGGACAAGCTTAAATCGCTGAAGAGTGACAGATAAGAACACTTGGGGTGCTGTTTTTTGTTTTGTTTTTTTCCCTCAGAGTTGCTTGCAACCAGGACACACAGCTTTTTCACTGCCTTGTGGTCGGTTGAGAACAAGCAGTCCAAAATTGGAGAACAAGTAAATCCCAAAAGTTGCCTGGCCACATGGTAGGCACTTGCTGCATGTGTTGGCCTGTGGTGGACTCATAACCAGCAGCCAGCACAACAGGACCTGGCTCTGTCTTGTCTCCACTGGCCAGTCTTACCGTTAGTCACCTGCTGGGTGAGCTCAGCTATGGAGTGAACCTGTAGAAGAGTTGGGCACACTGCTGGGAAAGTCTTTGACTGTATAGCGTTGTCTGTACTTAGACATCTTTTTGTAGCCTGCCAGTCACTAACATTTTTATCATGTGTGTGAAAGTCTTGATAGAAGTTTTAAATAATGCACTCGTGGCATAAATGTCTTAAGATCTTGGCATAGTGTTGGGAAGAGATTTACTTATTATCAGAAGGAAAAAGAATGGGAACTAAAACACTACTGGTGACTGTTGTGGAATTTAGATTTTTGTACTATTAATTGGTATACTGATGTGTCCTATTTTTGTCTTCCCACCTGTTTGAAGTTGGAGTGCTTAATCCAGTTGATAAGAGCAGGAGCCTCACTGAATGTCTCCACCACCCGCTATGCCCAGACCCCAGCCCACATTGCTGCTTTTGGAGGACATCCTCAGTGTCTGGTCTGGCTGATTCAGGCTGGGGCCAACATTAACAAACCGGTAAGGAGGCCTGATTGACATTGCCTTTGTTTTTCCAGTTACAGCTATTCACAAGATGTTTTAAATTGAGGCCTTAATTAGAGTTTGATATCTTTACCTGAGGCAAACTGGAATTTGCTCCTTCTGTTACTTGTGGCTAATAAGCCCTTTCCTCCCAAGGCATGCATTCAGTTTGTAGAGCGATTTTACCTGTTATGGGACTCACCCAGATCTGAGTTGATGATTTGCCCAAGGTCACAGCTGATAATTGAAGGCTGCTGGCCCACAGCCCAGATTTCCTGGCTCCTGCTCCTGGCTGCTGTCTTAACTTCATAGATACTGTAGAAACACATCCACGCTAGCAAAAGGATGGCTTTTATCGGCTTCAGGGTGGGTTTACCCTTCAAACACAAGTAATGACTAGGTGTGGAAACTTCATTTTAAGTGTCATTTACTTAGTGATAAGAATAAATGACTTGTGAAATTTGTATTCAAGTGTACTTACTAGATATGTGAGCCAGATTTTTTTTTATGATGTATTTTTATGGGTTTATATTATTAGCCTATAGTAGAGAAGCATCCAGTAGATGGTCTGAAATAGAGCAGACAGAGCTTACTGCCCAGCTTAAAGGGTGGATTACATGCTGGCAGCTCTCATGGCAATGATATATGCCCCCCCCTTTTCCTTTCATTTTCTATGTACTTTTCTTTTAAGGAAAAAATATTGTATGTGGTAGATACTGTTTGCTGAGACCAGTGTTGGGTTGTCTTGATTCCGGTGCTGGGAATGGAGCTCCAGTCTACTGAGTGAGCAGTACATGCTTCTAACAGATGGGCCATCATTCCAATTTCTTTCATATTTTCTTATCCTCATCAGCATCTTATGTGCAGAGGATCTCAGTTCCTCCCTCCTGCTTATCTTTCTTGGGATTGATTTGTTCCTTGGTTATAACAGTTGTAAAGCAGTTGTGGTTCTTTCCTGAGGACGTTAGCTACCCACATAAAATGGCAAGTGTTTTTTGGCCATGGGTTGGAACAAGGACAGGAGGGAGGGGGGTGCAAGGCATAGCATGCAGTTTTTTTTCTTCTTGAGACTGACAGTGAAAAGGGCAGTATAAGGAAAGGCCAGCCTGCTTTTGTTGCTGAGACTTGAATAGGGGCAGCGTTAGATCTTTACAGACTTCCTTTCCTTCTTTCATATGAATTTCCTCTTTTGCACCCTCACCTTGCAGGGCAGAAGCATCTGTCCATCTGCCTGATGCCTCCTGGTCTCAGCAGAATGGGCACTGTGGGTTTGAATCTGAGTTCTGTTAGGCAGGCTGGCTTTGGACAAGTCACTTATTAAACTTTGGTTCCAGCTCTACCAATAAAATATGGATAATACATAATGAAAATAGTTCATATTTGCTGTTATATGGAATTTAAGTTTAAAATTTCCATATGTTAACAGTGTAATTTAGAGAGGTATAAAGAAATTGGTACACTTTGTTTTTTCCCCTGGGCTTTTTAAATGCCAGATGCTCCTTTCCTTTTAGCTGGTTATTTTCAGTAGATACTGAGTGCAGGCTCACAGGTGTGCCTCTGCCTTCCCACTGCTCTGCGGAGTCCCTTCAGATAGCACCACACAATCAGCTTTCAGGGCAAGTCTTCCTAGCCTTGCTTTCAGCTTACCCCGCTGGTTACTTTTGAAACATAAACAGATTGGAGGGCACCATTGAGAAGTTTGGGTTTTCCTGGTTACATATTGCTGTAGCATAGACATCTCCTTCCTGTTCTCTGACCACTGTTAATATCCCTTCATCTTTGGGGAAGATTTTTTTTCTCTTGTTCCAAAATTAACTGTAAGATTATCTTTTTTGTTGTAAACATAATTTTCCAAACCTCATCTAAATCTGTTAGCTTTCCTGCAGAGTATGTATGTCTCTGTGTGTGGTTGTAGATGCTGGTGTGTGTGTGATGATTCGTGTACATATGGGGGCCAGTCTCTAATTTTTGTCTCTTTTGACTTTGTTTAAAAAGGTAGTTTGGGTAGATGTGGTAGCAAACACCTTTGCTCCCAGTGTTAGGGAAGCAGAGGGAGATGGATATATGTGAGTTCAAGGGTCTGTGCAGCCAGAGCTACACAGTTAAGAGATCCTGTCTCCAAAAAAAGAAGAAAAGAAAAAAAAAAAAAAAAAAAAAAAAAAAAAACAATGAAAGTGGCTTGCTTTTTAAACATCTGAGTTCACATATAGTTCTTGGACAGTAACATGGCTTGCTGTTTCTTTATTTAAAAAAACCCAACTTTATCCTGACTAGACCCTTGTATCACTTTAAACCATTGAGAACCCTTGTTTAATAAGTGGACACTTCCCTGTCCTTAGCTGTCAGCAGTCTGGTCTTGATCTGTTTGCTGTGAAGCAGTAACAACACTTTTCCCTGTGCAGTGCACTGGGAAGGAGCTCAGGCCTTTGCTGCTCAGGCTTTGCTTTATGAATGACTCTTTCCCAAGGCCACACACTGTACAATTGCCCCCCTGCCTTTTTTCTTTATCCCTTAATTACGTGATACAGGTACTCCCAACTGCTGTTCCTGGGAACCTTGAAGTGAGATCCATTCTAGTACTGGCAAAGCCCTCCCTCGGGGTTTCCTAGACAGCACTCTGAGTGTCTGACAGAAATGCTCACTCCATCTGTTGCCCTTTTGTACCTGCAGTGTCTTTGCCAAGCTGAAGGTCTGTTAGCACTACACAACTTCCCCTACCTGGCATAGGTTTTCCATGTCTTTACCCTAATCCTCTGACTTGAGGTCGTCTTTTCTAAAATACAGTTCCAGTTCAGGATAGAGTTCAAGACAAGCTCTTATGTATTATTGCTGTTAGCACCACAGAAGCTGTGGAGGGCTGGCTACACCAGAGGTTGGACTTGAAGTTGCCTTGTGTGCTTTTTCTTGGTCTGGATAGCTGTATCCTTTGTTTGTTTTGTGGTTGGTTGGTTGGTTGGTTGGTTGGTTGGTTGGTTGGTTGGTTTTTCAAGACAGGGTTTCCCTGTGTAGCTTCGGATGCTGTCCTGGAACTCGATCTTATAGACCAGACTGGTTTTGAACTCACGGAGATCTGCCTGTCTCTGCCTCCCAAATGCTGGGATTAAAGGCGGGTGCCACAACTGCCCAGCTCTGAGTAGCTGTTGTAATGTGAATTTGTCTTTATTGTTATAAGATACTTATTTTGAGTTTCTATACAACACATTTGTGCCAAGCTCTGGAATAAAATGATTGGTAAATCAGCATTACTGGCTTCACACCATCAATATGGGACCCCTCCAAGATCTTCGTCAATATCTTACACGTAGTCTGCAGCCTGGCTGTCGATGTCCTTTCACAGGTGGCACTGCCTTCTGCTGCTCCACTTTGGATTTTGCTCACATTACTTTATTTCAGAGATAAGGGAGGCTCTGTATTGATTACCTGCTTCTCGCTGCCAACAGCTTGGATGAATCTGAGCCTGTGCATTCTGTGTTTCAGGACTGTGAGGGGGAAACGCCCATTCATAAGGCGGCCCGCTCTGGGAGCCTGGAGTGCATCAGTGCCCTGGTAGGGAACGGGGCTCGTACTGAGTAAGTGCCTTCAATTATTCCTCTCGCTTAGTGATGTGCTCAAGGTGTTCATCCAGAAGTAGCATTTAGAGTAGCAAAAACCTTAAATGTCCTTGTAGTTGTGCCTTTTTGATCAGGTGTTAGTGAGGAAGACTATGTTAGGTTGACCACTAACAGATGTAGGCTTCATTTCCCCATAGCTCAGAGTGGAAGGAAGAGAACAGTCAGTCCATTCAATATTGGAACCTGGGGCCATTGACTTTGCCACTAAGTAGCCATGTCACTGTGGCAGGTCTTCTCACACTGTGTTAGACAGGTTCTAATTTCAAATAGATGTTGGGGAGGGGCTTTGATTAGAGTCCAATGTTTTTGCAGGTCCCTCTGGCTCACAGTCTTGAAGACTGTTTCTAAGTCTGGATTTCCTTAGCAATGTGAGGCCTCATATAAAGCCTCTGTAGACCTAATAATTGACAGTTTCCAGTTACCTGGAGCTGCATACCTAGAGACTTAGCTTGCTTGGAGTCTTTGCTGAGTAGTGTAGAATGTTCTCGTTTTAGTGCCATTTACATGAGCTGTGATCTATCACCTGCTAGAACAGTGCTGATGTATGAGTGTGTTAGTTCAGAAATGTGATCTTGTATGCAAACCCTTAGCTAGCCACAGCATTATACATTATTTAGGTATTATATTCATTTGTTTAATTTTTTTTACAGTGTAATAAAATTTTTCTTCTGCAGTTCACAGCATTAACAAATGGATGTGGTTTTCACCCTTAAAACATTGAGTGTAAGCTGTAGAGAGCTGTAATAATCAAAATAACCGACAATGCCAGCTTTTAAATTTTTACTGTAACTTAGTAACTCATTAAAAGTTAATTAGAAACCACTTTATTTTAGCAGGAAATGTGAAAATTGAGACTCTTGGATGCAGTGAGACCCACAAAACTTAGTTTAACCCTTTGGTTTCCACTTTATTGTTCTGATTCTGTAGTACAGTGATTTCTGAACATAGGTCCTGAGTAGCAAAACCATGTATGTTAGTTCATGTAGGTATATCTGTGTCCAGAGCTTAGCTTCCGTTTCCACTTTTATTGGCAAGTCTTACCATTAGCTTGGGCTTGGAGGTTTAATGTCATAAGTAGGGTCTGTGTTGCCCTAGCTCACACAGCAGCACATGGCAGTAATCCAAGTACCCAGGAGGCTAAGGCAGAAAGAGTGGACCTTTAGGCCCACCTGAGTTACATTGTGAGACCCTGTCTCAAAAAAAAAAAAAAAATAAGGTATGTGTTAACTGCTACATTTTAAGGACCCTTGTAACTATATTTAGTTGTGATGTAAGGCAAAGTAAAAACAACTTGATAATGTGAATATGTATTATGTAATCTTAAACCATTTAAGATGATTCTTAATTGCTTTAAAGTTATAGAATCAGTTTTACTCACTTTATATTAAAAATTTAGACCATTAATAACAAACTTTGAATATAAATATAGTCATATATAACAGTTTATTAAATTATTTTTGGAAATAGTGGGCAATTAAAGTTGGGTCTTTTAAATAGCTTACTTTTTTCTAAATTATACTTTAATTGGTCCTGAACATTTGATTACAAAAATGTTAGTTTTCATTTTAATGGGTAGATTTAACCCTTTGAGCCAGTAAATATCTGTCAGTGTATCCTTTTTCTCTCTTTCTTTCTTTTAAGTAGGTATCTTAAAATATGAGTATCTTTTATTTACAACTCTGTCCTTGGTTACAGGACCCTCAAGTGTCTCTTTTCTACCAGGTGTGGCTGAGCATGGCCTCGAGTGCCAGTCTGTCCCCCATCTCAGTACAGGAGCCACCCCTCGAGACCCTGCAGTATGGTGACTGCCCTGGACTGAGCTTTCACATTTTTTTGGAAGGAACATTTAGCTTGAACTACCTAGGCAAAAGCAACTTGTAAAATCAGAAGTCTTTGGCCTGGAGTTAGAATACAAGTAGTCATTATTTATTACTATTGTGTATGTGGTTATTCAGTTTATCATCTAATGAAAATGTTGGTTTGACAGTAAGCTGAATTGAAAACTGCTTCTTGATGTATATTCTGCACATTTTTGTAATTTATCCTGTTTAGTTGACTCCCCCAAATAGCAGTAAGTACCTAGGTCTGTTCTCCCTGTAATGCTGCTTAAATGGTCAGATGTATTCCCAGTGCAGACTAGGTCTTTTTCCCCCTAAGACCAAAGGTTTAGCATTAGTTTCCTTATTTAAAATTACTTTATATATTTTCTCATTTCAGAATGGGTCAGATTGTTAATTCATTTTATAATCTGTAATATTTAGGAGATTTAAAAAAAAAAAACTTTCCTTCTCTGAATAGGTTAAAAGCTGCCTCATACTGCTATTTTTAAATTAATGATTTTGCTTTTAATTCCTGCCCTACTTTTTACATATCTACTACATTAAAGTGGCCAAAGACTAAAGTTCTGCTTTTTTTGATCATCAGGTAGATGGTGAGGGTAGCTGCTAAGTGTCTGTTGCTAGAGTGGTTTGTTATGTGACTGAACTTGTTAATGTAGGTTGCAACTGTAAGATAACACAGTTCAGCAGCTGTGCATCGTATTAAATTTTCTAGCACCACACGTGAGTATGTTGATGGACTTTTGTTTTCTTCTCTTAATTTAAATCTTGAGTTTTGGTGCCAAGTTATCTTTTCCACATAAGCTCTGTTTCTGGCTTATGTGGTAGTCACCAGTAATTGCCATTGTTCACGCCTAAAAGTCCAACTACACGGGCTCAAATCCCAGTTCTGTGAGCACACTAAATGTTTGTATACCTTAAAGGCCCTCCAGCTATAGCTAAGCATGTTGAACTTTGCTGAACTTCAGTCTCACCTGATATAGAAGGCAGGGCTCTGTAGAAGGTGGTTTCATTAGAAGTTGTGTATTTTATGGTAACCACATCTATCAGGGTGCCTTTGAAATAGTTAACTAAAAACAGGCTTCTTCACCTGGTGTAGTGATGGGCTCAGTTGTCTAAAGTGACGACAGTAGGCCAGCCACAGTTGCAGGCTCTCGTAGTCACTGAAGTGGGTATATGTTCTTCACCTGGACCCTGCCTAAAGGCAGGGTTATCACCAGGACAAACACATATTAGGAACATACTTTAAGAGTATTATGTCAGAAGTTTTCTTGTAAGTGTAACCAGGACCTACTGTGTTAGCCATTCACTTCTGTAGTTGATGGTTAATTCATCCCAACATACTTCTCCTTCAGAACATGGGTCCTGCTAAGAGATGTCTCAGACTCATCATGACTGAATTAGTCTGATGCTTTAGTGCTTTGAGTTCTTTCCATCCTCATATGCTTGCCCCTTTTCTGATTGTCCCTACTACCGATTCTCTGGTCTTGCCTTGCCTTTTCCTCCACTCAACCTCCAAGATGGAGGCTGCTGTGCAGGTCTGCCCACAGGCAGGAGTAGTCAGTGTATGACTGGGTTCCAGAGTTGACAGACTACCTTAGAATTATTTTATTAATAACTTAAATGATAGAGATATCATCTTTAACTATTGCTTGTACATTAAATTGGTATTTTAAAAACCAACAATTTATAAAAACCAATTTTTCTCTGTTAAATCATAGTGGAACATGCTAAATATTTTAATGTATGCAAACAGTAGTTGTGGTTCACTTGCAATGCTAATTGTCCTCAATAATGTTGAACTTGAAATGAAAACTTGGCACCAAAGTTGTTCAGGTAGAAGCTTTTTAACAAATAGTTTTTTCCTATTGTTAAGTGAAGAGTGCATTTATTAAAGTCTTCATGATTGTGTGTTTGGATACCAAAGGGTTAAAATACACCTGTCTTTTACTGCAATAACAGATGTTTGCTAATGTTTTGTCTGTATAAGTAGACATTTAGTAAATGTTTTTATTTTTATCTTTTTTTAATGATTCCATTTATTTGCTTATTTCCATCTAGGAATAGTTACTAATGTATTTGCGATACAGCATACCAAATTTTAAAGTAACGAGAATCGTGAGTTGATGGTGTTTAGTCCGTACTGTTAAACTTTTGTTGCAATATTGACATAAGTGGCTTCATTGCTGGCGTTACTGAAGGTGATTCTTAGTGACAGCACTGGAGCGCGGAGGGTGGCCACAGGCCAGGGCTTAGCTCTATGACTACTGCCCTGCACCTCATGTGTGTATGTATTCTTAATCCAGTGTTGCCTGCCAATGTGATCCCTATGATTGACGTTTCCTGTGTATGAACCGTGCCCGCTTTAAGTCACGCACAAGATTCCGAATCTGTAAAAACTACACGTGTCAATGTTTTACAGCTGCGTAATTCGAATTGACTTGGTTTTTTCAAGTAACCCTAGAAAGGGGAGCACTCACATAGAAACGGCTGAAACTGCCACAGGTGCTTCTCCGAAACCTTACGGTTGTGGCATTGAATGTTCAGTATGGCTTCCCTTCTGCACACAAGCATACTGTGGAGGTATTTGTTGCGGTGATTGGTTTTAATGCTAATCTAGGAACTCAGATATAGATTCTTTAGATTTGCATGCTTTGCTTACCCTAATTTATGATATCTACCTTCTTATTTGTAAACTAACAATAGCTAAATTCAGATCAGAATTTTAATGGAAGTATTATTTATATAAAAATTGTGGTTCTGTTTTTTTGTCACATGGCATTAGCATAAAGAAAGTGTCACAAAGGTGATGTGACACCTTGAGTTCTAAAAACGACATCAGGTATTTCCTGATCCGTGATTATTACATTAATCCAAAAAAAAAAAAAAAAAAAAAAAAAAAAAAACACTCATTGGAATGGCTTCTCTATGCTGGTACTGTGACACTGTAAGTGGAAAATCAAAGGGTTAGCTGGCCTGTGTGGCAGTCAGTTCTAAAGTTCCTTGGGAGGAATTCTTGAGCAAATTAAATTCAATGCTCAATTCAAAATATTCTTACAGGAAATTGTGTTTGGTGACAGTTTGATTCATTTTTGCCACTTTGGCAAAATATTTAATTTATAACTGGGGTTACTCTCTTCTCCTGTGCTAGTTTTCTGATTCTGAACGAATAGCAAGAGGGCTGAGTGTGTGACTCAGTGTTTGAAAGCTTGCCTAGCACGTATAAGGCCCTAGGTTTGACGCTAGGCGCTGCTGAGGGTTATCTGCATGGGAACTGTTTTCCTCCCTCTTGGGGGAGGAGCAGATGAAGCTCAGCCTCATAGAGCTTCAACAAGACTAGAATTATTAACAGACTCCCGTTTTAATACTTCCTTTGTCTGGATGTTAGGACCAAAGAAAGGGGATAAGGGTTGAGATCATTCCTAATAACAACTTTAGCCATTTCTCCCAGGTCTCTATCTTTATTGATACTTTATTAGATAGACTATGTCTTGTCTGCAGGACCCTGTTAGTCCTATGTGGTTAATGTTGGTGAGTCACAAGCTGAAGGGGAATGGATTGTTAACAAGCTCTTGACCCAAAGTAAAGGATATAGAAATCATAAATGAATTATGTAATTCATTCATGTGCCCACCTCCCATGGGGCTTTAGAAAACTAAGAAGGGAAAGCTGAGATTGCCTCCTTAAAGTGGGATGCTACATAGATGTCAGAAGTACAGTTTACTTGATATAGGGTAACCAAGATCACTGTCTCACCTGTTTAAACACTGAAGTTGAAATATGAGCTAATAAAAGAAGCATATGTGAAAACAGAATTTAAAGACCCAAGCGCCTTTGGTATTTTGATGCCTAAAAATTTAGTATTTTGATGTGTGTGCCCCAGGATTTGATCCCCAACACTACAAAAATAAAACCCCATTTTTTGAGAAGATAGAATTTAGTGCTTATTCTCATTTTGATACAGAAGTCCACATAATTTTCAGCCTCTAATGAATTGAAATTAAATTAGTAAAAGTAGTTGAGACCTCAAAGCGGGTCTTACTCTGCACACTGCCACCTTCAGATTCCACTGTGAGGCTCTCTCGGGAGGTATAGCAGGTAGTAAGACACGGTCGCTTGTCTGGTAGTTTTCTGGGTATCTAGTATTTTGTGATAGATTTGGTAATTGTGGAAAGTTATCTTTTTGCTTGGCACTAGTGAATCCAAAAGTGTAGAAGACAGTGAGGAAGTCTTTGAGGGTGCTGGTTGATGTGAGGGGAACAGCCTCATGCTTGTCAGCAGCTCTTACCCTGGTCTGCTGTTGGACGGCCCATGAGCTAAAGATGGCTTTTAATTTCTAGATGCCAACTTAACAGGAATCAAAATGAGAAATAATGGGCATTATATGTAAAGATCCATGTGACTCAGATTTAATTGTTCATAAGAGATGACAGACACACTGACTTGGTGCGGCTGCTTTCAGGCTACACGAACTGAGTAGTTGGGAATGAGATTGTATGCTCCACATACTTGGCCCTTCAAAGAAAAAGTAGTATGTCCTGGGTTAAATGTTCCCTGCCAATCAGTCAGGCCAGCTGCCCTGTGGAGGACTTTGGTTGAATGAACAAGACTGAGGGGCTCTCACACAGGAATAGACAGTACAAGTGGTGAGTGGAGGTAAGCAAGAGAGGAAAAGGTCAGGAGAGACGACCAGTGGACGGTGGAGGCTGGTATTTGATGTACCAGCATCACTGAACAGATCCTAAGCTTGAGAAGGCAAATGCTAACTGTTGTGCAGTCAGTCCTGAGCAACACAAGACACCATATAGAGTCAGGGGTGCTTTGTATTCCTGTTTTCTGATAGTGTCACTGCAGGCATTGTGTAGCACAGGTTCTAATGTTTCCAGTTCACATTTTTAGTCTTTTGTTTCCCATTCATGTTTTATATGAGACACTCAGCTTGACCTTTGGCTCTACTCACTGCTGCACAGGATGAGTAGGCTCTCATCTTTTTGTCTTTTCTCTTGAATTTGAAAGTTGGGTCCTGCAAATATAAATTGGTTGGCTCTGGTGTAAGTAGAGGAAATCACCAGTGTTGACCTGTCCCTGGAGGATCAGGGGCCAAGCTGTTAGCCCACTGTGGTTCATGTTGCAAATTTCCTAGTGTGTTTACCTACCATCCTGTTAAATACTGGCTTCTTGTTTCTGTATTCTTTAATTTTGGTGAACAAGACCATACTTATCCATAAAAAATGGTCATTTGGGGGCTAGTGAGACAGTGAGTTTGGTCCCCAAAATCCATTTGGTGGAAGAAGACGGTCTTTAACAAAGTTGTCTTCTGATCTCCACACATAGGCCATAGTGCATGTGTACACACACATAAATGTAGCAATAAAAGTGATCGTTAATTTTGTCTAGTGTTGCTCTTGTCTTTTCAGATTCTGAAGAAGCTTAAATTTGTTACATAGTTTGTTTCTTGACAAGTGGACATGTCTAGACCATCATTACTCTGCTGTGTGATAAGTTCCACACATTTATTAAACATGTGGCTGTGTGGGGCACATAATATCTGTGTGAGTCATGTTCTAATGACAGGTGGGCTTTCTTTTCTTTTAATTCATGTATCAGTAAAGAAGCTGGGATGAGTGCATCAGAATTCACTGTACTGCAGTCTTAACAATATCAACTTTTAGTTCTCACTGGTCCTATATATATTTGCTTTTTATTTTTAAGAGAGGCTACTGATTTCTGGAATTCTCAAGTCTAATCTCTTTGTATCTCATTAAACTGGACTTGAGGGCTGGTAAGATAACTCAGTCAGTAAAGTGCTTTTTATGCAAGCATCAGGACCTGAGTTTGGATCCCCAGGTATAAGGAAGACAGATCCCTAGGGTCCCCTGGCCAGCCAATCTAGACACATCAGTGAACTCCAGGTTCAGTGGGAGACAAGATGGAGAACAAAAGAAGTAGTTCATCAGCCTCTACAAACACACCAACACTAATTCCATGCGCACCACACATATGGCATACTGCATTTTATCACACACACAAACTGGACTGGAGTCTGTCTTCCAGATAGGTATTACACACACACCTCTTCCCTTTTAAGTAGATACATTTTCTGCAGTTGAAGCCTTCTGCATGTGACCCTTGGATATAAAGTACAAAGCTATGATTACCCTTTTAAACTAAGAACCAATATTTACCCCTGAGCCTATAGTTTTTGTGCTCCAGTTTTTAAGTTTGTCTGTCTGTTTGTTGCCTTCCTTAACAGTCACCCTAACAAGCGCAAGCGTCAGGGTTTGGATTGGTCATCTCTCTGATACAAAGCGAGGCCTTCATTTCATCACGTCTTGGTTGGGCGTGAAGAATAGCTGGCTGAATAGGTATGGACGCTCTCCTCACCATTGTTGTCCCCAGTACCAGTTGATGGGCCAGAACTAACAGTAGCTTCACGGCAGTTTGACTCTGAGAGCAGTGCATACACATCCACGCCTTGTGAGGGGCTTTAACACTGTAGCTGCTGTCCCCTCAGTTTCACTGGTCTCATGTTTGCACATTAAGCTGTTTCTTTCCTATTCAGCTCCTTTGGCTTAAATTCTGCCATTGTTTCTTTCTTTCATCTGTGACTTGTGTTTTAGTGTTACCACCAGGTGACACAGTATTTCCTTTTGGAGAGCAGGCAGGACTGAGCCTAGGGAATGAGGTCCTGTGGTGGTACTTAACTGCAAGGTTGTTTAGGAGAATGTTCACCCAAATGCTGTAGATTTCCAACATGATAACACTTCTGCGAATTTTCCTACCAAGGGCAAATCTGTCAAGATGTAGTAATTCACCTTGTCACAGATGTTGGGGCCAATGGCAGATCACTTTGTCAGGATACCTTCTGAACTTCCACTTAAAGTGTCACATATCAGCCAAAAATCTGGCTTGTTGATACACTGACTTTTTGCGTTCAGGGAGCCACTCAATATGAATGCCATGGACAATGTTGTCAGTACATGCTTGTTATAATTTTACTCAAGCTAAAGGATGGGCTTTTAAAATTAGGTGCAGGTATACAGAATCTGTTTCAGGTGAAGTCTGAAGTTAGATAAATTTAGATTCTTCAGACTAACATGAAACACAGCTTTGAGAAGTCATATAGGAAGATACCTTTAAGTTTAGTATATTGATTTTTTGTTTTGTTTTATTTTTACTGTCTCCCAAATCAAATATGTGTAGGAAAAGTTAGTTACAGACCAGGATGATTAACTGCTCCCTTAATGAAGCTTTGCTATAGATCTCTTGTCACCTTCAGATAGTTTAGTCAGTTTGGCAGGAGCAGACACCAGGGTCAAGTGCTGTGGAATGTAATTCATTGTTTTTGTGTTGTACAGCCTGAGAAATGCCAGTGGCCTGACAGCAGCAGACATTGCACAAACCCAGGGTTTCCAAGAGTGCACCCAGTTTCTCTTGAGCCTCCAGAACCATCAAATGAGCCGTTTCTGTCATAATGGTACCTTGAGTGGAAGCCACGAGAACACGCTTCCCAATCACATTAGCCTGGGAACAAATCGAAAGAGATGCTTGGAAGACTCAGAATCTCTGGGAGTAAAGAAACCTAGAACCGGAGGTGAGACCATGTGGGAGTGGGAAAGAGCGAGGGCCCTGCCCTGACAGGTATCTTTCTCATGGCTAAAAGCAACTTTTAGAGACACCATCTGCCAAACAGTAAGTACCAAGGGAGCTCTGTGTGGGACAGTAGAGAGCTTCCCTGTGAGGATGGACTGCTTATCAGAAGGGTAGTGTAGAAGTGGCATATGGGTGGCCCAGATGTGAATGGATATGGACTGGTGGCTTCTGAGTGTCCATGATTGACTTCCTCTGTGACCTAAAGAGACGTTTTTTCATTTGTTTGCAGTGTCACCATTAAACCTGCCACTGAGGCTGATTTTGTTGTTAATATCTGCATTGTTTTTGAGCTTTTTTTTAAGAATTGTCAATGGAGCTGGGTAGTGGCAGTTTACGCCTTTAATCCCAGCACTTGGGAGGTAGTGGCTGTCTGGATCTCAGTGAGTTTGAGGCCACCCTGGTCTACAAAGTGAGTTCCAGGACACAGAAACCCTGTCTTGAAAAAAAGAAAGAAAAAAGGATGTTCAGTGGCTGGCTGTGGTGGTGCAGGCACATGTGGATCTCCATGAGTTTGAGGCTGGTCTACAGAGTTCCAGGACATCCAGGGCTAAATAGTGAGACCCTGATTCCAAAAAATTAACTTAAAAATGGTGTTGCCATGTCTTCCTTCTTGGGAAGGAAGCTGTGCTCATATTGTCACTATTAGAGAGGAGTGTGTTGAGAGTTCATCTGACGTGAAGAAGAGTTAAGCTGCTGGAGTATTTCTCCCTTGTGGTTTTTTTTTGTTTGTTTGTTTTTGTTTTGTTTTTTTTTTTGTTTTTTTTTTTGTTTGTTTGTTTGTTTGGTTGGTTGGTTTGGTTTTGTTTTGTTTTTTAATGTTCTTTCAGTGCTTTTTGGGGGGGGTTGTTTTGTTTTGTTTTTGAGACTGAGCCCCTCCTATGTAGCCTTTGCTGTTCTGAAACACTGTAGACTAGGCTGGCATCAGAGATCCACCTGCCTCTGCCTCCCTGGTACTGGAATTAAAGACGTGCACCACCGCTGCTGGGCACAGAGTTTACATAGCATAACATCAGCCTTTAAGTTGGAAAAAATCTCCCTTTCACATAAAATCCCTTATCCTTGCGTAAAGGGACAGTAGACCAGGAGAAGAATATAAACCAGCACTGACATGTCAGGAGTGGGGTGAGACTTACTGAGGATGATCTTGTCCTGTATAGCAAGACACCAGATAGACATTCATTAGCTGCTTAATGGTATCAGGACTTGGTGTGGGCAGTAATGTCTTTCCAGTGCTTAACACTATGTCCAGGAGGGTCTCTGTTACTCTATCATAGCCATTAACATTTCTTCATTACAGATTTCTGTGCTAATGTAAATTTTGTTGCCATAAAATGTATAAATTTACACATAATGGTTTATCCAAATTGGGATTTTTGGGCCTTACAACTTCAGAGAGGTGCTATAGAACCTGAGTGTGGCACATAGGCTGGGATTTTAAACTGGCAAGGTGTTGATTGATAACATTATGTTTTACTTATTCAGTGTCCGAGTTTGTCAGTATGTCTTTCTTTTTAAGACCTTTGCTGTTTGATGCAATACCTGGTTGAAATTGTAGTGTTCATATATCAAATGTATACACAAATTGTACATGTCTATTAGAATTGATAGGTCCTTGAAAGATAGTTATTTGCTTTTCCTTGTTGCTGTTATATTTTAAATTCTGCTTCATTTTTAAAATTTTATTTTACATGCAAATGTTTTGCCTTCGTGTATGCCTATTGTCCTCAAAAGTCAGAAGAGGACAGGCATTGGATCCCCTGGAACTGGGGTTAAAGACAATGGGGAACCACGATGTGGGTTCTGGAATCAAGCCCTGGCCCTCTGCAAGAACAAGTATTGTTAGCCACAGTCTGCTTCCTGTTTTAGATGATCATGAGCCCCTTGAGCACACTTAGGTCTGGAGGGTCGTAAAAGCTAGGCTCGGGTTACTTTTGAGACAGGGTCAGGTTCATGGCCCAGACTGGCCCTCAGCTTAAAGTGATCCTCCTGCTTCAGTCTCAAGATATACACTGCCAATACTAGCTCACAGGGTTTTTGTCAGTTTGGCCAGTGTCTCTTTGCTTGAGCCTTCTGGGTCCTTTCCAAGGATACCTTATTTCCCTTATCCTTGTTGCTGCAGATCCAGCTAGTTGTGTTGGTTTTCCATGGAGTTTGGTTTCCTCACAACAGGATCCCTTTTGGTTAGCGTTGGCTAGAGGTTTAGTTTGTACATTAGAACCTCTTGCTTTCACAGGCAGCTGCACATTCTTAGCCTGCATCCTGCAACTGCTAGTGCAGAGTAAAACATGACAGGAGCTTCTGGGCTTTTGTGGCTAATGATGCATGAAAGCCAAAGCACTTTGGGCCATGTTGCATGTGACAGAGCCCTTGTTTATTTGTACTCTTGCTGTGACTTGAGCAACCAAAAGTCTCTTCATAGTTTAGAGTTGGTCACAGATAGGTGTGGGCTTCCCTCCCCTGCTGCTCAGTTTTTTCCTTTCTCCTTTTGCTGTCAGTTACTGTGTAATGTGGACATGGTGAGTACTTGACCCCTGTGCTGGCTTTCCCAGATGTAGAATGTTGTACGAGTGTTCTAAGGGAGCCTTTCTTCAGTCACAGTGTAATTATCTCCAGTTTTGCAGGCTTTGTTTTTAGCTTGCAGTCTAGAATAGTTTGTGATTTCTGACATATTTGTTGGCTGTTTAAATTTGTAGAAGTTTGTTCGGTCTGAATTTCTTATTTTGTTAATGTGTCTCAAGCTAGAGTAAATAGAAGTACTTTCTAATGTAACACAGGCATATGAGATTATTATTATTTCAAAAACAGTTCTGGGCTGAAGAGCTGTCCCAACTGTTAGGAGTGCTTGCTGGTTTGGCTGAGGAGCTGAGTGATTCCCAATGGCATCCACTCAGGATCTGACACCTTCATGTGGCCTTAAATGCACATACTCACACACAGACACAAACACACATAAAAATAATAAAACCTTTGTTAAACTTAGCCATGAAAATAATTTTAAAGATGGAAGCCACCTTTCCCACATAGAATATTTGGGTATATATAAATAAATAGGTCAGACTTTCATATTAAACTTGTTCCATTCTGGCTTAGAATTCTAAAATTCGATACGATAGTCTCAGGATGGAATTCTACTCATAAAACCAAAGCTCCTCAAGGTTCCTTATAAAATGGAGTAATGATGAAAGTAACTGTGCAGGAAGTGTTGTCTGGCTTCAGGGTCCCACTTCGAACAGTTGGTGAATAGGCACAGTGGTGACGAAAAATGCCTTGAGTGACAGTGGGTAGCCCTTCCCCTATACATAAAACTGACCTCGGGAAGCAAGTCATGCTACAAAATGCATACTTGGAAAAAATCAAATGTACATACTTGGAAGTATGTTTTATAAAGTTGCTCAAGTCAGTTCAGTCAGACAGATTATAGATGTGTTAGTGTGGACATGGGACTGGGGGCAGGGCTTGAGAGCTGAGGTTTCCTGAGCATTTGGTGTTGATGGCACACTTGCTGTGTCTAAACCAGTTGGGGTTTGTTACTGCCCTCAGTTTGTCTTCAGAAAAACTTGGTGCCCTGCCCATCATTAGTGGTTGCTCTCTTTGGAAATCCAGACTGACTGGACAAGGGTTGAGAAAGCAGCTGCCCGGAGAAAGAGGTTGTTTGCCTCTGGGGTTTGAGTGTGACCCTGCTGTTGCATCCATAAAGCACTGTTGGTAGAAGCTGCAGCATTCCTTGACCGTAGTTAGCACTGAGACTACTGGACATACTTGGTTTCTGTAGTAAGTTTAGCCTGTGATTTCTGTTTGTGTCAGTCATCCTTGACAGGGGTCCTGAAGAAAAACAACATGCCTAGCAAGGTTGATAATAGATCATTTGTTAGTTGCCTTAGACATGAAACTCATAAAAACTCCTCCCAGGAATAATATTTATTTAGTTCCTTTAATTTGTAATGTCCTCTCAGATTTGCAGCAATTTCTGTTTATATTTGTTTTTAATTTTTAGGGTGGCAAATCTTACTTCAACTTTTCTAAGCAGATGGTCATCCTGATCCCTTAGTGTTGTGCCAAGGGAACACATGGTACCTGTGGTTTTCCTGTCACTGCTGTAGTCAGTTTTCTCTGCAGCCGTGAGCAGCCTGTTTCACACACAACCCTTTATGCTCTTTAAATACATCCTCAGTCTCTCCACAGATCTGCTGTGAGGTGTCCTGGTTCCCACAGGCTGTCTGCCTTATAGGAGAGCCTCTGTTTAGAACTTTAACTATATATAGCAAGAGATAGTTGAGAGACAGATGAGGTAGAGGTAGACAGGTGATAAAACATCCAAGCAAACAGCTCCTGTACTTCATGGTTGGCTGCTAGAAGCCAAGATGCAAATCTTTCCACACCTGCTCCTTTTGTTGGGGTTGAGGCCTTCTTCTGCTTAGCATTCCCTGACAATGAGTGTACATGAGACTATAAAGGCTGCAGCACATGAAGGGATAGGCAGCACATAACTTTTGCCCGCCTCTCCGAGTTGAGTGGGCCAATACCAAAGGCCCTTTTCTAAGATGCTGGAAGTGTTACAAGCCTGGCTATGTCCCAAGCCTTTGTCTGAAAATCCTTGTTAGTTTGGGCCCCTGTGCATTGGCATCTGCTTTGTATGTAACTTAGCAGTGCAGGTCTTGGGAACATTTCTGTTGGGGTCACTAGAGCACAGGAACCTTGGCTATATGGCTTTAAGACTAGATTGTTGTTGGGCAGTGCTGGTGCATACTTTTAATCTCAGGACCCTGGAGGCAGAAGCAGGTGGATCTCTGAGTTGAGGCCAGCCTGGTCTATAGAGCTAGTTCCAGGACAGCCAGGACTGTACAGAAATCCCATCTTAAACTCCCCCCCCCCCGAAAAAGGACAAAACACAAAAGATGTTCTTTCTGCTTCCCTTCCAAACCCAAGCAGAATAAACATAGGTCACTCAGACATCTTCACAAACCTCAGATGTGGCTTAATTGGCTTTAGTAGTGACAGATTGGGGGCAGAAACTGCACCCTGCATCAAGGTGTAACATGGAGCATATGGAATCCAAACACAGTATTCTTTGGGATACCGTGGTGATTAATTCCATAATCTATGACATACATTTTAAAGTAGATAAAGATAGTTATGATGCCTACTTGCAAGAACCCGTAGTTGCCCCTTTACATGAGGCCTGTAGGGACACGGAGTGTCTAACATCTGGCACAGCTGTTTAAAGAGTACTTGGGTTTGGTTGAGCTGACATAGCAGAAAGTGGACCAGCACTGACCCCCTATCCTCGTGTAGAAGCATGGTTACCTGCTCAGCTGGATAATTAACCCCTCCAGGTCCCAGCTTCTGTGGCTGCTGCTGTTGACACTGACTTGGTGCATTGCGGCCACTTTGGTACTGACCTACTAACTTGGAGCTTTCAGAATTTGAAACAGCTTTGTTTGAGAAAGACAGCTTCATGGCTTGTAGTTCCAGAAGTCCTGTTTAAAATGCTTTTGGTCTCTCACTAGTCAGATTGTGGTTTAGGTCCGTCCCACACTGATCGCTCTCTCGTTTGGGTTCTCTTTGCATCTCTGGCATTTCTGGTTTCAACCTGCACGTTAGCATCTTTGGGGAGGAATAAGATGTTGGTAAAAATACTTGACAAAGACCCTGGTGCCTCTAAAATGAGGACTAGGCTTTGAAGTTCATTTCTTCTATTTTGAAAACTACCTTGTATTTGTATCCTTTGACCCCAAAACAGTTGTAGGTATTTATTGAAGAAATGTCAAACAAAGATGTACATCTGAGGGCTGTAAACGTAGTTTGTGAGAGCACAGAAGGGAGGCAGCCTTCTGTGAAGAAAAACGTGTTTGCCTGAGGAGTCTGTAGCCATATGGTGAATACAAGATTCTTTTGAAGTGGTTAGCATACAAAATAATACGCTTCAACATGTTATTTTTCATACGTGTATCACACCTTGCTTCTGTTTGACACCCCTACTTTCTTCTTCTGCCTTCCTATTAGTCTCCTCCTCCCCAAAGAGCCCTTTTTTTTTTACATTGTATGCATGTGTTTGTGTGTGTAAGTCTAGGTTTTACATGTAAAAGAAAAGTATGATACCCAGTTTATAAAATTTCCTGCAGATAACGTGCTCTCTTCCCCCACTGCCCCTTTGAAACAGGCTACTGTTTAGCCCTGGCTAGACTGGAACTTGCTGTGGCTGTCCTCAAACTCACCTGCTTCTGTTTATCGAGTGTTGAAACCACACCAGAACTATGATTGCATTCTATACTTGACTTTACAGACTGGTGTGTCAGTGAAGCAACATGCAGGAGCAATTCTTAAAACCATCTGTTTATCATTACTTTAAAAGAAAAAAGAAGTCTATTATTAAAATTAGAAGCCATTTACTTGTCAAAGAGAGGGGCAGTTTCCTAGTGGTGACGATTGTCAGGTGTGGGACCGAGGTGTCTACAGAGTGTATACTGGAAGGAAGTAATGGTGTCTGTGTACTGTCCAATTGTCCAATTGTCCTGTGTCCCATCTCAGACTTTCTAGTATGTGCCTTGTTTTTCTGTTCTGGGGACTCAGACCAGACATTGCTGGGAGTGGGTCCCTGTGGATGGTCTGTGCTTAAACACGTCACCTTGTCCATAATCTTTTTTAGTTAAATTACGGGATTTTTTTTTTTTTTTTTGTTAAAGTCAAGATTGTTTTGAATGCTTCATATTGAGAATTATCTTCAGTATTTCTTTAGACACACTTGTGGTAGGGACAGGATGGGATAAGCTTAGAATTATCTCCGTTAGAATTAACTGTATTGCGGCCTGGGAATTACAGCTTTTGCCATGAAGAAAATGAGCAGAAATCTGGAAATTGTGACTTTGAGCTGAAATTGCACACTTAAACACGTTTGTTGTAAAAAGTACTTTCCCAATAGTATAAAACTTCACTGGGGAGCTTTGCTTCTTTAAATTGTTTGACAGTTGTTTAAGCTTTCAGTGTAGATAAAGGGATGGAAAGCACAGCTTTGATTTCTTTTCAGACACAGAAATCTAAAATTGCCTGTTTTCCTGTGCAGTTCCCAGCCTGGATCACGCCATGCCACTAGCGAATGGCGAGCCTGAAGACGACGCTGACAGAATGCATGTTGACAGAGAGTTTGCTGCTGTATCAGGTGGGAGTGGACAGTTTCCTGTTAGCTGCAACAACACCCCAGTGGTCGAAGACACCAAACAACAGGAGAGTGGCTCTGTTGGACCCAAAGAAATAGAAATATATACTGTTTCAGCAATGCAAACCCCTTGTCGTTGCAGGAATCAGTATGCTTACTATTTCTGAGTTCTTAAACTTTGCACTTTCTTGTCCACTTTTTTTTTTAATGTTCTATTATAATTTACAAATTTTTTGGCACTTGTATTGTATGGATGCAAGAATTAAGCATTTCAGTGAATCCTATTACTATGAGCACTAGTGCAGTCTCCCGGGTTTGGGTTGGAGCCTTTATGTGATATGCCTTGCTGTTTTCTTATGAGGTCTGCAGTTGGTTTCCTGACATAGCCTTTGGGTTATGTTTTGAAGGCAGTACAGCAGGTGGACAGCTCACTGAACACTGGGAACTGTGAGGGTGGTGGCTGTGGCTTGTGACCCACTTGTGACAAGTTTGGGATATTTGCCCCACGCTCTTGGTTGTTTTGGTGTCTGGAAAACCCTTGAAGACTGTTAAAATGCTGATCATTCTCAATGGTGCTTTACATGTTAACATGTTGAGCACATTAGAATAATTAGCTTTTATTTTACAGTTTTGGAGTCAAAGGCTCAGTTTTTCTAGGATTTAGGGTTTCTGAGATGTATTTATTTGTCATGTGCCTTTTTCTCCTATTCTTTAGATGATGACAGAACATCATAGTTGTTCTCTATAATGTCTTTCTGTTCATTTCTTTACTGGGAATAAAAGGTTACCTGTGTGTTTCCAAACCCACAGAAAATGTTTCTATGCCTGTAACTTGCTCTGCACAGTCTTGAGTGGTATTACCTCCAGCCAAATAGTTAAATAAAGTGGGTGCTCAGAGAGTACATTTGAAATCAGGCTCTCTGTTTTAGGTAACAGAGGAAAAGTGACAAGCCAGAACCTATCCTTTATGAAGACTGCACTGTTCCCTTCCTGGTCAGACAGGAGTAACCACTGTCTATCCTCCCTTGTGTTAACAGCCAGCCCCACGCTAAGCTTGTGGGCAGGCAGGCTTCCCTTCAAGCCCGTTCATCCTGGATGTCAGAAGGCCATGTGGGCCTTGTGGTGCTTTCCAGTACTGTCTGACGAAGAGACAGAGACGTGTTAGGAATCCCTAGAGAGCCTTGCCAGCTCCTTATGTATGTGAAATAGCACCTGTGTCCACAGAAAGCCTGTGAGTTGCGTCTCCTGAAGTGCGTCTCTACACTTTAGAAAAGCTGTTTTAGTGATGCCTTCACACTTTTAATGCCCCTCACTGGAGACTGGGGGCGGAGGATCGGGGGACTTCTCCAGTGAGTGTATCAGAGACTTCCTCCCCAGCTCAGACTGGTTCCCTGTACACAGTGCTTTGGATTGAGCAGCTGGTCCACAACAGAGCAAGTGGTGAGGGGGGGAGGTGGGATGGGCCCCTGTCCATCACTGCCCCAGATGAGGCTAGGCTGCCAGGTTTATAGGGCATTGGCAACTTTGAAATTCACCATCCTATTTATGAATTAACATAGAAGAAAGGTAACTTAGACTTTATTTTTGGGAAAAAAAATAATTTTCCCCTTGAGAAAAACTTGCTTCTTTTTTTTTTTTTTTTTAAGTTTTGTTCCTAGTCTTTGAAATGTCCATTCTCTAATATTGAGTTGTTTATAGGGATAAGCTACAATTTTAGGGGGGAAAATTATACCCTGAATATCTTAAAGTTACTAAGTTGTTATTATTACTAATCAACCACACAAAAAATGTTGGTGGTGATTTTGGTGTTTTGTTTGCTTAGTAACTACAGTCCTTGCAAGGACACATGCAAACTGAAGTACAGGAAAAAGTCAACTTGTTTCTCCACAAGCCACTAGAACTAGGCTTATGTAGACTTAGTGTCTGTCTATCTCAACAGCCCAGAGAACTGAGATAAAATTCAGTGTTACCAAGTAAGAGCTTGTTCTTTTCCTGTGTGGACTCCTGTGAACACCAATTGTAATTGTCTGTACTCTTCCCTGTGCATCAGCATCTTATTGGTAGACAGACATTTAGATCAGTGGACTGAACTGTCCACACCTTTCAGCATAAATGGTTTCTGAAAATAACCAGAGAGGAGACCTTGGCTCTCATGTCATCTTTGTTGCTGGACTCTGGAGAAGCCCTCAAAACTGTAAGACCACTGGTGTGGGCAGTCTTTGCTGTAGTTGCTGCACCAGTGCACTGAGGGGCATTCTCCAGGGTTGTTTCCTTTGGTAATCATGGCTATGCTGCCCTGACTGGGAGGTGTCCCCTGGTGGTGCACTAGTTCGAGCTTCCTTAGCGTATCTGCTTCATTTGCCTTTCCCAACTTGACTAAAAAGTTGTGTGTCTTCAGTAGAGAATGTTCTGCTGGGTTCTGCTGGACTCTTTCGGGGATATTTAAACTGTCCTTCAAGGGTTACTTTGGTAGATAAGTATCTACTGTTCTGTGTTTACTTTTGGTGATAACTTTACATTTCAGATCACTGTCCATGGCTACTGAAATATATGCACTTTTCTTATCTTAGTAGGCAAAATACTATAGTTGTGTTTTAGTTCTAAATCTGTCTGTATAACCTTGAAAAAGGAAGGGAGAAAAATTGTAGCAGAACATAAACCAGCGTCTTTTATAATTGTGCCAAGAGTTGATCATATGCTAGTTTCTCCTTCCCCATTGGTCTGCGTTTTAGTGACAGGTATATTTCTTAATGCAGATATGAAAAACAGTAGCTCCGTGTTGAATACATTGACAAATGGAAGTGTCATCAATGGACATTTGGACTTCCCCTGCGTGACCCAGCTCAATGGGATGGAGAGCAGGAGTAACCCGTGCTTATCAGGATCTAATGGAATTAGCAATGAACAGCCATTTTCCAGTGGCCAGGGTTCTGTGTGTGCTAATGGGACTGAGGAGCCAGAAAAGACCATGGGTGTTAACCCTGAGATGTGTGGGTCTCTGCATCTGAATGGGAGCCCAAGTAGCTGTGTGGCCAGCAGGCCGTCCTGGGTGGGGGACGGGGGAGAGAACTTGCACTATGGACACTACCATGGGTTTGGGGACACTGCTGAGAGCATCCCCGAGCTTAGCAGTGTGGTTGAGCACTCAAGCTGCGTGCGGGTAGAACAGCGCTACGACAGTGCCATCCTGGGCAGCATGCAGCTGCACCATGGCTCCTGAAGGCGGAGTCTCCCGCAGCTCCACGGAGCTGCAGGGCCTGTGCTGCTGGGCCTGGGCTTTCTGAGAAAGGACTTGGACCCATTCACAGTTAGTTCCCCGTGAGTGCTGCTGGATTCAGAGGGCTTCCCAGGGCATATGGACATTGTTCATGGAGTGGTGGGCCTCCTACAAGGAGCATTTGGTTTTCACACCAGCCTCTCTCTCTTTTTTTAATTCTATTTGATCAGGATGATTTGTGTTAGTAAATGAGGTGCCTGGTGACACGTGGGCCTCGTTTGAAATCATTGACCTTTTGCTGTAGCATTCATGACAACACAGCTGGTTCCTCTGCAAGGTGCAGCCTTACAGCAGTGTCTTGCAGCCACATAGGAAGAGGGCTGTCTCTGTCGGGGCATAATAGTTTCCTGGTTTCCTATGTAGACCACTGCCTGTGTTTCCTTAGAAACAGGCTCTGCCTAGGATGGATTACGGATTGTTGCATTTTTATTCCACATTTCTACTTGGTCTCTAGATTTTTTTTTTTTTTATCACGGATAATGGTTGTCTTTATATTTAGTGGAAGTCATGTTTGTAGGAACAGTCAGGTCAGAATATTTTACTATGGCGACCTATTTTTTTGTTACTGTTTTTTGAGGTTTTCTGCTTAAATATATATATATATATATATACCACTATATATCAAGTTAACTAGAGAATTTTGGATTTCTCTTTATTAAAATTGCATTAAATTTATGGTTTTATAGAAAGTAGCTTTTGTTTAGGCAACTAATGATTACACTGCAAATACCGCAATGATTTTTGTGCAGATAAACAATGAGATGAAGAAAGCAATGTTTTAAGAGTGTACTAGCATTTTGTTTTTTCAATTGTTCTTTACAAATTGAATTAAAAAATATTCACTGCTGATCTGTTTGTGGAGTGTACTTTCTAGGTGGGGTTGGGTCAAGGGGTATAAGAAGGTAGGAAACAGTTTGGTGTGGGTTGTATTTTGCTTGTGAGGTGTGTCTTCATGCCCCATCTGGTAGGTTTGCTAACACACTCTTGATCTTGTGGCCCTGTCTTTCTGAGCCTCTAGAATTTGAATGTTTGCAGCACTGTTGCCCTTAGCTACTCGTTTTTATAGGTTGTAGTGATCACAGTGTTGTAAACTTCAGCCTTTTACAGATGTGAATTGCAGTTAGAAAATTATAGTAAAATAGCCATCTGGCATGCTGCAGTAGTCCACTTCAAACAGCCTTTTATGTGTATTCTTGTATAGTTTTTATACTCACATGAGGAATGTTACGTTTTGAAAATGTCCCGATCCTACAGTCAAGGTCAGAACCCTTGACTGAGCCCTGAAAAATCACTCTCCAGGATCTGAGAAACTGCCTGCATTGTTGACTCCCTGATAGGGCTTAGCCAGCAATAGCCTGATGTAGCAAAGGCTTGACACAGAATCAGCCTATCAACAAGCTCCTGGTGACTCTCTCGAAATAGTCTATAAAGGGGGCTGGAGAGATGGCTCAGAGGTGAGGAGCACTGACTGCTCTGCTGCTCTCCCGGAGGTCCTGAGTTCAATTCTCAGCACCCACATAGTGGCTCATAACCATCTAAAACAGGGTCTGATGCCCTCCCTCTTCTGGTGTGCATGCATACATATGGACAAAGCACTCATACATTTACTTAAGTTGTCAGAAAACAACAGTTAAGTGGAGGTGCTGTGTAGAATCTGTAGTGGGGCGGGGCACGTGGATGCTTACTGGTGGTTAGTGGAAAAGGGTGCTTTCAGAAATTGTTATTTCCACACCCTCCAAGAATGAGATTAGATGAAGCCCACACTGTGTCAAGGAAGGAAAAGGTACCAGGGTTTTCATTTTTTTCAGAAGGGAAAGAAGCCAGATTAACATTGTAAAATTAGCATAAGGCCACATCAGATCAGCCCTGCTGGGTTTCCTGGCATCCTACCACCACTTCCCTGTCCCTGGAGGACCCCTGTAGTCCAGAATCGCCTCCAAGGACCCCAGTTAGTGTGGTTGTCATGTTCTCGGAAGCACTACTGAAATCGTAGCTGGGGTGCACCTGTCTTCTCTCTGCTGAAGATGTTTCCATGACCATTGGTCTCACTTGGTTCTTCTGCCAGTGCAGGGTAACTGAGGGCTAGCTTTGCAAGCATGGTTTATGAATAATGGCATCAAATAGCCCGTTACGTCGACAGCATGCGCATGACAGTGATAGACATTCCTTATTGTAGGGTTTTGAGTTTGTCTCCAGAAGAAAAGTGAAAGGCGCCCTCAAGAGCTCAGTGACTGTCACTCCAGCCACATGGAGCTACTTAACAAAGTGTCCCTGGTCATTGCTCCTGCATCACTTAGGAGGCCAGCGGGAGATCCTCCAGTAACCACTCAAGATGCAAGAGAGGTCAGAAATTCAAATGGCAGCAGGTAAGGAAGCAAGAAACCAGGGGCTCAGTGGACAGTGGCACTTAGTTCTAAGAGCTCTTAACCAACCTTTGCACAGACACCCTGCTAGCATCAGATTTGGGGCAAGTCTCCATCTCCAGAGCCTCCAAACTGCATAGCCCTGACTTCCTTCACTGGGCATGGTGTACACCCACTCAGGAGACCCACGCGTGGCACAGGGGTACCAGAGGGTTAGAGTCCATGGTGTCTGAGCAACAGAGCAACCGTGGGCCTCAGTGGGAGTTGTTCCAGGAGCATCTGAAGAGGGGGTTGTAGCCCCTGCCTGGCCAGAGATGCCTCACTAAACTGACCATATTCCCCACACCCTGATGAGGACTGCAGTGACAAATGGCAGCATGAGCTGCCATAGTAACAAGTTTTTTGTTCAGGCACCGTGTTTATGTTTGTTATATGTCTGTGTGTGGATACGTGTGAGTGCAGATTCCTGTGGAGACTAGAGATGTCACATCCCCAGGAGCTGGAATTAACAGGTAATTATGAGTCACCCAACGCCAGTGCTAGGAATAGCACTCAGGGCCTCTGCCGGATAGTAAGCACTCTTAACCACTGAGCCATCTCTCAGGCCCCTGGCTTTAGAATTTAATGAGGGTGGCTGAGACATTTGATCAAGAATTGGTTTGAAATGCAAATACTTCTCTGCCTTCAGTGATAAGCTATTGAATTTGAGCCTCCTCTCTTTCAACCTGGTCCTCTGATAGAACACTGGGATGCTGATTTTGTGTGTGTGTGTGTGTGTGTGTGTGTGGTGTCCCATTTCCTAATTAATGTCTACTCTGAATCCTCCATGTCACAATTAGTGACTTAGAAGCATGCCCATTTTTAAAAAATATTTTGTTGAGAATTTGACTCAGGGTATCCCCTGAGTCTGTCCCCTAACTCCACCCAGATCCACTCCCACACCAGGTAACTCAAGTTTGTGCCACTCCTATACTCCTGGGTTTGGAGCCACCCAAGGGAATGTGGTCAACTTACCAGGAACAAATCAGTGTTCTTATCTTTCAGTGTGTTAACACATTTCAAGTGCTTTCTGGTCCCTCCCAAGGTCAGAGAGCAGGAACTGTTGCCCCAGAGTTACTTCCCTTTAAGTGGGTTAATGACTCCACGACACGTCTAACTGCCAGCAAATCAGACCCTCAGCCCTGTAGCAAGGCATTTACACAAGCCTGTTGTCGTAGCACAAGCTCAAAATCTAGAATTCAGGAGGCTGAAGCAATTGAATTACTGCAAGTTCAAAGCCAGCCTGGGCTATGAAACCATTAAAGGTTAGTTTAAAGTTTGTATAAGTAGCCAGTCTAACAGCCAACAGCTGGACACAAACATGAGCTGCCACCTTGGCTGGTTCTGGCAGACTAGCGGGAAGCAACTGCAAGTGGAAAAAAAAAAAAAAAGCCTTTTAGGAAAACAACTGCCTGGAGTCAGAATGCTGCTTGCAGGAGCTGGAAGTCAGCTCTCCATCTGAGTACATAATGGGCATCTGTCCACCAGATAAAGACAAGCTGGCCAGAACGGGCTGGGTGGACAAACAGGACTGCAGTTGGGTGCTGTCCCTCTCCATGATGCCTTTGTGCAAGGGCCTCTGTACCATGAGACAGTCTGCTAGGACTGACAGCAAACAGTGCCCCTGTGCAAAGACAGCTGAGCATTCAACCGGGAACCAGATACAGGCTGCTGGAGTTGCTAACCCATGGGAACCCCTCTCCCCTTTAATGAATTAGTCAGATTTGCCATCAGTGAGCTGAAGCCTGGAATGGAACATCAAAAACCAGGCTGAGGGTTGCACGTGACTCATACAAAGCTGGCTTAGGATCCATACGACCCAGACTTCCATCCCCGCACCCTCCCACAGTCACCAAAACCAAGGTTTACACAGTGTGAGACAGATCAAGGGGTAGGGAGGGTGCTTTGCACCCATGCCCGTGCTAACCCTGTGGATGGAGGTGACCCACAGTCCCTTGTGGAGAATGACTTGAGCACAGTTCTCAAGCATCTCCTATGGCGTCAGCCAAGTCCCCTCTGAGGGGGAGACAGGCTTCCATGTGAGGAGAGAAGGCAGCCTGACCTGAGTAAACAGCATGGACCAGCTGACACACTCTACCCCAAGCTCATTAGGCCATTGGATATCCTCATGTACTGGATGCCAGCTAGCTCAGGGTGTGGCCTGCTCTAGACCCAGGAGATCTGAAAAGAGAAGCCTGGGACACTTGACCTGTCCCCACCAGAGGGTGGCTTGGGCCCCTCTCCCAGGTATATGAAGGGCTGGCTCACACTGGTTGTGGGTCAGGAGCCTGTGAGACACAGGAGACAAGTCCGGGTGTGTAGAACAATACGGTGCCACTCTTGCTACTAGGATGCTTATTCTCATGGGACTTGGTTATATAGCTTGCTGTGTGTCACATGACCATTGGCCACAAAACCACCTGAGGAGAAAGTCCTTCAAGTTCTAGTTTCTGGTACAAAGCATGCTTCTCCCCCTCCCTCTTTACACCCTCTCCCTCTTCTTTTACACCCTCCCCCTGTCTCTTCTTCCAGTACATGTGTAGAGGTCAGAGGACAACTTAAGGGAATTGCTCTCCTGCCTTCTTAGGGATGGAACTTGGGTTTTCAAGCCCAGTGACAGGCATCTTTACCCACCGAGCCACCTGTGTGACTATTTCCTGTGACAATGGTGGAGGCAGCCATGGACTTCCCAGAGCCCCAACAACAGCACAGACGCCCACCAGTATCTTAGCACCCAGATGCAGGCACATAGGGCTTGCAGTTGCCTACCATCCTGCCAAAGCTGGCTTTTGAGCAGCCTGCAAAACGCTGATACCCTGAAGGCAACTCCCAGGCGCTTTCACAATAGGCGCATAATGTCAATTGCCATTGATGACTGGGATGGCCAAGGCAATTTTTAGATGTGTGGTAATATTCTAAACTAAACAACTAAACAGAAATCTACATTTATAAATGCTATTTTCTGAGACTATATTTTCTGAGACTAACAGAAACATTGCTGGCTCCTGAGTGCTTCCCCTCTGAATGGAAATTACTCAGAGAGAGCCAGGCTTGAAGGAGTTAAGCATGGACACTCTCTCCCTGAAGTAAAGGGGGTGATAGGAACTAGGAAGGGAGCCAGTGTGAGGGGAAAGCATAAGTAATGAAAAAATATAATCCGAGCTTATACACAAATGTAAAAAGTCTCATAAAATCCATGGCATGTGTAATTAATATGAACTGATAATAGAAGGCTAATAAGGGATGTACAGAGGTGGTCAAATAAAAAGTAACCCATACTATAAAAGAAACCAGAAAAACATAATTTAAATTGGCACAGCAAATATATTCCTAAAAGTGTTAACAGCATATGAAGTAAATAAAATGGAATGGGTTTTTACAAAGGTGTCCACAGTACACAGAAACACAAACAGCCCCGATAATGTTGAACACACAATAGAGCAAATT